AAAGCTGCAGTAATCTTGACAAAGACAATGCTTTGGATAATCATGAGTGTTAGTTTATTTAAGTGTGAGTAAACTTAAGTAAATGTGAGAAGTTCCACATTAGATAAAGATGGGCTTAATAGTTAATGTACAATAAAAATGAAGGATTCATAAACTCCAACCTTAAGGTTTTGAGTTAAAATGTGACATCCTTCCACTACTCTTGCCCGTTTCTCTTCTCCCTTCATTTTCTAGTGGTCGCTCCCCTTCTTAACAAGTAGTATTAGATTCAAGTTTCACTCAGGACCTGTAAGCCCTTTATTACACACATGTTTAAAGCCCAAAATAGGACTAGCCTTGACTGCAACAAAGACTTATGTGCATTACACCGTTTAAAGCTTGAAAATCAAACTAGCCTTAAAAAGCAAGGACTTGGTATTTGGGGTACTTTTGATATAGGGAGCTTGTAGACTCACTTGAGAGAGAAATTGTTAGGTTGTCTAAGTGTGAATGGACTCAGTAATTGTGGAAAGTTTCATATTGAGTAAAGTTGAGTTTAATAACTAATATAAAATAAAGAAGAATGATCCATAAACTTGAGCCTTAAGGTTTTGAGTTAAGATGTAGCGTCATTCCACTACTCGTGCCTATCTCTCCTATCCCTCAATTCTTAAGCATTCACCCAATTCCTAATAATGATTCCCAACAATAAGAAACAAAAAAGCAACTTTAGAGGTATGGTTTAAATTTTTCTATATTATCATATCCTAATTAATTACTCTATGTATATCATATTTGTATGTAAAAGGTGTATGTGAGAAAGGAAGATATTAGAGAGTGAAAGCCATCAGATGGACGTTGGAATTAGAAGAAGGACAGGAGAGCCTATTAGTATCAGCTTACAACACAGCATGGTTGGGTTTCATTGAGAGCGAGACCAAGATGGGTTTCCTCTGTTTCCTTCTTGCCTTAAACGGATAATCCATAATCAAAAGAGGATGACATGTAGAGTCACAAAAGCTGAAGATGAAGAAGCTGCAAACAAGATGATGGAAGAAGTAAGCTTAGATTTACTTCAATAATCACAGTTCAAAGATGAGACGATGAAAAAGAAGTTGAAGAAAAGATGATGTCAGAAGAAGCTGTTGATGCTTATGCTTGATGCTAAAGATGAGACAACAGAAGAAGTTATTGATGCCTGATATTGAAGACAAAAAAGAAGAAAGGAGATAATGAGAGATCGCGCACAGATCATGGTCTAGTCAAGGGTTATGGTATACACCTGAAGTTAACTGCATATGTTTTTTTTAATTAGCCTGCTCAACCTACCTAACTTGTAAGGTTGAGTAGGTTGATACGGGTTAATCTAGGGTCACCCGAGTTACCTACTACCCCAAAAAAATAGCAAAATTAGACCGGATAGAAGGCTAGTTCATTATTTTATAGGTTTGCCAGTCAACGTTTGCTTACTTATCAGTTTAATAATCAAAGTCTAGCATTTTTAATGGTTTAAGAAATGTTACATTCATTAAAATAAATTCATGAATCATGGATACTCCTGCACTTTTATTCACTTAAGGATATTAGATTATCCTGAAGAAAAAGTTATTGAATATTTTTTGTCACACCCTAAAAATTAGGTGGGACTGGCATGGGATATGGGCACAAAACTCATATCCTTTAAGTCGTGATCAGAGAAACTCTGAAGTTAATACATTAAACACACTAATAGGATAATTAAAAATGATTACATTATTAAATCAGATATTAAATTTTAAAAGAAATGTGAGAATCCTACCTGTAGTCTATGTGGAGCACTTAAGGCCAGGTTCTAATGTAAGTATAAAGTTCAAATTTTTATGAAACTAGGATTTGACTAAAATAATTTTTCCGCTTCCATTTAACGATAAAACTCCTCAGTAGGTGCCTTGAGTTACAAGTTTCGCTATGCCATTTGAGATCCAAATATTTTTTCTAGTGAATAATGTTCCAACAATAAGTAATTGGACATAAATAAAAGAAAAGTTTGAAACAATCACGCAATTTAAAAAGGCAACAGTTTTTATAAAAATTTAATAAATTTGAAAGTAAAAGGATTCTATAAAGTTTTAAATAAAATCTTTAACTATTAAAATATCATATGAAATATTATCATCACTTGATTGCAAAGAAAAAAATAAATAATTATAAATAATTTACTACTTAAAGCCAATGGGATGTAAAATCATCAAATTCATATTATGGGGACTTATCAAAACAATTAACAAACGTGGACACAGTCCATGAAAGTAAATAACCAAATGCGGCTCTTTCCACAAAGACAAATGTGGACACATAGTCCATGAGAGTCAGTAACTAAATGCAGCCAAAGCCACGAAACAAACCTGGACACACAGTCCATGAGGGCAAATAACCAAATGCGATCGAAGCCATGAAACAAACGTGACTACTATGCCCACGAATAGCCATCCCTCCATTCTACATGCGTTGGCCATCGCACGGGGCTAACACTTCCTATAAATACCCTGCTAGCTAGGTGTACCATGGCACGCCAAAGGCTAACAGAACTGCCATTAGTAACCAGTGTTTTGTATAAAGTTCTTTTTTTAAAACCATTTTCAAACATTCGAGAAAATCATCACTTTCGAGCTACAGTTCTCATTTTCAAAATCAAATTCACATGAATCATTTTCCGTGGCAATCCAATAATTTTTCAAAATGAAATTCCATAATTGAATTCCAAACTTATATTTATTGAGTAACTAACATTTTAAATTTGATAAAGCTAATTTCACAAATAAAGTAATTTTCATCAATAAAATCTCCAATAATCACATTATTACTATTAGCATGATTTACAAAAAAAATATAATATTTCTTAAAACTTAAAAATGAAGAAATTTAATTAACAAAGTATCCACTAATCAACATAATTATTATTAAAATAATTAATGTAACAAAATAAATTTTAATAAGAAAAATTAATTGATAAATTAGTTAGGACGCTATCACTTATTTGAAATTCCCATAATTCAAGGATTCACCTTTCCATATCAATTAAATTTCTCTTCCTCCAAATATCCTATAAATTAAAATTAAATTTTTTTAAATAAACTATCTGTAATTTCTATTATTTCCTCCCAACATCTCTACTATCAAAATGTTGCTATAGTAAATTTGAAATTTTAAGAGACAACTTTGCACATAAAATCCTTCAAAAGCTATAGCTCAACACTTCATTAAAATACTATCTTCTCTTAATCTTTTTTTTATCACACCAACCATGTATCATTTTCAACCCATGTCTTTCTCTTATATTCTATTTTTCAAAATTCTCTAATGTATAAACAAATAAGTAAATCAACTTCCTAATTCCAATCCCTTCATTGAATAAATCAATCTTAATTTAAGAAAATTAAAATATCATCTTTGACATTTCACATGACAGCATTGAACCAAAATTTTAGCTTTAATTTAATTTCTATCCTTCTCTGTATGAGAACAGCAGCAACCAAAAAGGAGAAATTAGATCCTCAATCATCAATTCAGTCATTCACGCACAAAAACTATGAGAAATAAGTGGGCTCAAGACTTCTTTACCTTCATTAATATTGGCATGCACAAGGAGGAAGTAATGATAGTCGGTGCAGGAGAAGAGTGTCAGCCAACAAAAATAAAAATTTAACAACATTTATTTACTAAATCCTTTACTCAAATATTATTACAAATACCTTGAGAGCATTACTTAAATTTCAGTTTACAGTAAACCTTTTCATATTAACTTTCTCATCAACATTTAACTTAACATCCCAATAAAATTATATAAAGTATCAACCAATCGAAATCAACTGTTAATTCGTCAAAAGATTCATAGCAGCAACAAGAAAGAAAAATAGAGGCAGAATCTTTAATCAAAAGAGGAGAAACAAGAAGCTTTCCATTCGCATGTGCAATGGCCAGAACTGAAGAGAAAGAGAGGTTTTGGGCGACACACATACGCACGCCAACACGAAACAAGGGAAGAGTAGAGGAGGATGACAAGGGAGGATGATTCGATGACTCAATCCCCTACAACAGTCGACACCGTAGAAGAAGAGAAGAGTAGCAGGCAGCAACAAGAACAGTCAACGGTGAGGTACAGAGAAGCAATCGACTCAGCGAAGGGAAGGAAATTTGTGGACGCTCCATCTCTCTCTCTCCCCCTTCACATGCTCTGTTTTTTTTTTTAAATAGCAAAGGGATAAGAACAAAGGCTAAGTTGGTGGCTAAGGGCACACATAACAATGAGAGATCGCTTGAAGCTTTGAGAGGCACATGGGGAGATAGAAATGGTGAACCAGATTGACAGTCAAAGGATCCAAAAATTTTTTGTTTTTCTTGACATGTGCGCATGACCGAGAGAAAAAGAAATATGAACATTAAGGAAATTGAGAATATTACAAGAAAAGGCACAAAACATTATAAAAAAGGATACTAATGTTTTTTTAATAATTTAAAACAAAAATGAAATCATTTTTTTTTTTGTCGATAAAATTCAAACTTGTGACCTTCAAGTGAGCAACCAACACACATTTCATCAAGCCACCACTCACCATTTTCTATAAAACTAAAAAAATTAAATAAAATATAAATTAGAAGAGAAAATTTATTTAATTTAAAATTTATGTTCATTACATGCATAGTAGAATTCAAACTTTAGACCTTAAAAAAAATATTACTAGTAGGAGTTTCAATAATTAACCACTCTCTACTTGCTATAATACTAATTTAAAATTTAAGATCGAGCATTACATTTTTTCCCTTTAATCCTTTTATATTTTTGACCAAATGTAGTGAGTTTTTTTTTTTTTCTTAAAACAATTTGTTTACCCTCCGCTTTTAGGTGTCAATTGCATTGATTAAATTTTCTTAGTCATTGTTTTTCTATGTATTAAGGTTAGTTCATATGAATTTTTTGTATGGCTAATCTTGTTGAATATCTGACCAAGACCATGTACAGATCAAATCAAATAGCTGACCTGTTTGTTGAAGAGAACTCACTAATATATTTATTTCATTTTATTTTTTTAGATAAAAATACAAGCTCAAGAAACTTTATTTACCAGCTAAACCGATAAGGGTACGTAAATTGTTCCCTCTTTATCTCAATACACACCAAGAATTCCAGCTTCTTAGGGTTCTCAATAAGAGAAATAAAATCATCATACATACTCATCAAATTTGAAAGTTCCCAATCAAATGAGAGCCTATGAATCCAAAACGATGGGATGGTTGAGAACTACATCTCTGATGTTAAGCAGCTCATTTGGCATCTCCTTTGCATGAATCACATCATTCTTTTGATAAATCACGTGAAGTGATTTGATCATTTTCCAGTACACATGTTTGATTGCAGCTGGAACTTTACATGCTTCTTTCTGTAGCACTAATCTCAGCATCTCTTTTCTAGTCTCATCAATCTTTCTTTTTATCTCTTCTATCACCTCTTCCTCACTTGTTTTCTCACCCCTATGAATCAAGCGCAAGCTTATTGAGTCAAACTTCCCTTGTTCTTTTTCCCTCTACACAAGCATAAACAATCTCATCATTCACTTGCTAAGTTACAACTCAGAAAAACATATATCAAACAAAAAGTTAAAGAGTCATCAACTCATCATCACCTGGTAGCCATTGATGTCATTGAGGTATCGCCCACAGAGACAAGTAACCTCAAAGAGGCGATCATGTTCATCACCTTCAATGATAGCCTGTGGGACTTTTTGTCCAGCAAGATACCCTGCGAGAATGATAATTGGCCCCAAGGCAAATGATACAATTCCGTTCCGCTCATATTCTTCTATACTAGGCGCACATCTGCTTCTACACCATTCTGCTTCCTTAAACATAGATCGTAGTAAATCTACCCACTGAAAACAACAAATCATGACATTCATAACATGAATATAAATAGTTAGAAGATTGAGATGATATTGAGACAATTATAATCTTACAATCTGAATCATGTGCTTCAGCACTTTACGTCCTTGAACTTTATATGCTTTGGTTGCAGTCTCACACGTTGTTCTCTTGATTGCTGAGAATAATATCTTCACTGTCTCAGAACAACTTTCTTTGTTGACATCTATGTCCCACCTGTAGTTCAATGTTCATTCCAAACACATGATCTTAGGCATAGATTAATGTAGACAGGAAACTACATTTATGGGTTCATTATAAACACAGCATACTTCTCTATCAATTGTATGAGGTTCATCTGTTCCTCTTCAGTGCCCCAAACATCATAGAAATCATCAACCACACAAGTGAGCGAGGCCTGTTTTGCCCAAGTTAAACGTGCCTCACGAAGTTCTGAGGAGGTGAGTGTTGCAGCAACAGTCAAGAAGGCATAAGCAGCTTTTGTTTTTGAAATTGGAAATTTTAGTTTCTCCATTCCACTCTCTGCAAACCATCTGATTATGATGATACTCTTATTAGTGATTCACAAACTGAAATTAGATTAGGATGGAAATGCTAACTCAAATTTTCAATGTACGCTCATCTGCAAGTTCTTAGAAAAGGCACGCTGACCTATTGAACATATTGAGTTCTTCATGAAATAAAAATTGGCAGTGATTGAAGTCTTCCACTGCCAAACCAAGGAATTCTTTATTTGCGAGGTTCGGAGAACTGAATGAGAAGAACCATAGAATGCAAAGTGACTAATCTATGTAACTCAAGAAGCTCACATTAAAAATAGATTCCAGATTATGATATTACGGTGTACCTGTATGCAGATTTTGAAATTCTCTTTTGATCAACCTTGTAATGCTCTATGGATCTTCGATTTGATATGAAATCCAAGCAGGTATGATGAGGAAAATGAAGGGCAAAAGAGACCTGGAAATAATATAGAATTATTGAAGACCAAAATAGAATTTAATTTGTGAGAATAATTACTGAGTAATGTATGTACATGCCTCGTGGTCAAGATGATTAGAAGGTATAGGAGTGTTTTTTGAGGAATTAGTAGACAAATATTCCTCAAGAAAGTGTCTTGTCCAGGAATTTAGTTCCTCTAAAACTGAATCATTTGAATGTAAAGCTATCTGTGAAGCCTTGTGTAACTCTAAAACAGCCTCAACATCTTTCAAATAGCCCTGAAGGGTATTGCAGAATTTGTCTTCTGAAAATCGATCAAGTGCATCTGAACAGACGCAAATATATATGAGCCATGTCTTATATATTCCTTTTCAGCTACACAGAAGTTAAGAAAGATATAAAACCTGAGGAAACATCATATCCATGCAAACGTAGCAAACGAAATGCCATGGCACATGTAGTGGGTTCTAAAACTATGTCATCTTCTTCCCTTTGCCACATTCTGTTTTCAAAACCAAACAGAAAAACGTAATAGATTCTGTAGTTCTCTTCAAACTTTACCTCCCAATAAACAGACATTTTAAACATCAACATCCTTAAATATTACCTCCACATATCATCCAATACACTTGTGATTTCCTCCTTAAAATCGCGGTCAATCCCCAGTTTTTTAAGACTATCAACCATATGGAGTCGGGCATACACATCAAAAGGATGTATTGTTGGAACTGTACAAGTATCAGTGCAATTAAAACCCAAAAATTTATATCATGCAAAAGAAGAAAAATCCATCAAAGTAAGTCTTGAAAGAACGAACCGGCATTCTCAAATTTATCCAATAGTGAAACTAGATAATCAAGACAACGTGCATTGTTAATATGAGTGTATGCTGCTGCGGTGGCAGCTGGAGAGTTAAACAGAGAGCCATTATTTCTCTGAAATTTGAGAGCCATTTCCCAATTCTGTGACTTCCCAAACCCTTCTGAAATATATGCCACATATGCTTTCCATCCTTCTGACTTGCCTCCCCACCCACTGCAGTCATATTAATATGATGGAGTATAATATATTCTTTAGAGATTTTTTCTCAGATTCTCAAATTGAATTGATACGCATGCACACACACGACTTTTCTAAAAAATTATTTTACATGGAATAAAAATTCAAAGCTCTTTAAGGGTGCAAGAGCTTGCCTATGAACATATGGGGGTAAATTATTTATGATACCTTTTGAGCTCCAAGTCCCTCTTTTGGATGAATGTATCTAAGTGTTTCCCTCCAAGAGGAAGATTTAGATCTAGACTCTGGGCTTGCTCAATTAAATGAGAGAAGATAATATCAAATCCAATTGGAGAATGTTGTTTATCGTCATGAGCTGCAGCAACGTTTGACCCTATATACCCAAGTCCTTCAACAACAGAGGATCATCCAATCATTTGACTAGATACACTCCTTTACTTGAGGCAACATTACATATAGTAAATCACACAACACCAGAAAACGAGGAAAATGATAATTAGGAATCTTATAAAGATATTAATGACAATTGAAGACCTCGTGTTATTGAAATGTCAAAAAAGGACCGTGGTCTTTATTTGAAATTAAAATAGTTATGGTTATTGAAATAACTAGTAAAAGTTCACTTATGAATTTAAGAAAGATCAATTTTAACTATATGGATATTCAATTATGAATGAATAGATAGTTTCATGAATATATATCATCATTTGTGAATTTAGAGAGAATGACTTGTGAAATTTTAGAATGGTACTTGTAAATTTATGAAAAGTTAATTATGAATGGATATTTAAAAACATGAGAGGATCCCTCAATCATTGATTTATAATTAAGACTATTTATATTCATTCACAATTGAAGCTTGATCGATATGTTCACTCACAAGTGATGTATAAATTCATATGACTATTCATTCATTTACAATTAAATTTTCATAAATTCACTATTGACGTTCTTAAAATTTATAAGTGACTAACCTTAAATTCACATGTGACATTATATAAATTCATAAACCTATCAATCAAATCATAATTGATTTTCTATTGATTCACAAGTAACAATTACTTAAATTCACAACTAACTTTACTTAATTCAGGAGTCACATTCTATTAGTTATTTTAATAGTTATTTTTATTTTAATTACAAATAAAAATCATAATCCTTTCATGACATTTCAGTATTTTGAGGGCTTCAATGTCATTAATGCCTTTATAAGGTCTATATATAAATTATCATTATCATTATCATTTTCCCAAAAAAAAAAAAAGAGGTTGCATTTAAGATTCATAATCATATCACTACCTCTATTGATCTGCTGTTCACCAACACCCCATTGTTTAAGTGCAAGAACACATGCCAAAGTTGATAGGAGAGAGTCTTTGGCCAATAACTCATGGCAATCAAGAAGACCCCATGATCCATCACTCTGTTGATTCTCTATTAACCAATTCAAAGACTGAGGAAACATAGGAGCTTGTGGAGAAGTCGGTGATGGAACCATCGCCACCCAAGCCGTGTCATAACTTGATACAGATTGTTCAACTTTTTCGAACATCTTCTTTATTTTCTCTTTATTATGCTCTAACGTCTGCGTCTGCATTTAAAACTCACCATTTATTGGCATATTAGAATTAGATCTGCTTAGACACTAGAGAAATGGAAGGTTGATATTTTACATTGTCAGATCTGAAGCGAACTTTGTCCTTACTAGCAGTGCCTCCAAACGAAGTGGCTGGGAGAGATGAAAGAACAAAGAAAGACGTTAGGCTTCCTTAATAATTTATTTATATATTAACAGTCGACATTAATTGAAGATTCAGACCCAAAAAAATGTACTACTTGAAGACTAAATTCACCAAAACGATATGCACAAGTAATTAATAATAAGCCAACCAATTGACTTAGGAGAGGATATATGCGTATGCGTGCGAGAGAGAGAGAGAGAGAGAGAGAGAGACTCAGATTTATACGCAAGTAGAAAAGGCCAGTCCACGTGCAAATTAGAAAGAAATTTATTTTCACACTCGTTTTCAAGGATACGGACAGTTTCCGTATGCCCAGAGGCTAGAGAACTATATTAAAAAAGACAGCAACATAATTACTACTCCCTTCATTTTTATATATAAGATATTTTTAATCAAATTTTACATACCAATAAAAATTTATTATGTAATTGAAATCATATTAAATTATAATAATTTTTTAATTTTATTCTAAGAATATCAAGTAATATCATGATGTTTGAGGGTTAAGCACACAATTAATATATCTTTTCTTTTCTTTTTAAAGATAAGGATAACAAATTTTTTAATTACTAAAAAATATTACAACACCTCTCATATTTAGAGATAAAATAAATTTTTAAAAAATACTATATACAATTTATTCATTGAAAAATAATAAAAATATCCACCACTAACGATCGTATGTAAGATACTGATGATAATCGGCAACTCGATAACCCAAATGGTGAAATCAATTATCTACACTCACACACAGAGATACAGAGAGAGAGAGAGATGAAACCTGGAGAACCCGAAGGGACAAAGTGAGGGCGGAGGATAGACACGGTGGTCCCCAGAAACATGATGGAAATTTTTCTGTTGAAGACCACAAAATGGCTCTTGTGCTCTTCCTTAGACTCTTACACATACACATATATAGGAGATCGACAAAGAACTAGCCTTTTTCATTACGTCAAGTTTATATTTAAATATAATTACTCGGTCATCAGGGAAAAAAAAAATGTAAAAAACTGCTGTCAAGGATAAAAATTAGTGTTGCCAACTACTTTTGGAGTTAAAAATTTTTCAACGTTACGTAAAGTCGAGAACGACAAAAACGTTGCTTAGAAAAAGCTATATAATATGCCCTCCGTGCTTATATATAAAATATTTTTAATTAAATTTTATATATTAATAAAAAAATTTTATTTAATTCAACTCATGCAAAAATATAATAATTTTTTAATTTTACTCATAATAATATTATAATTAATATCATGATGGTGATAAGAAAAACATACAATTAATAATCTATTTTATTTTTTATAAGGATAAATTTATTTAATTATTTAAAAATATCATTACTACTCTTTATATTTAAAAATAAAAAAATGTTATAAAACACTTTATATACGATGAGATGGTCCAGTTGGGGTGCCCCATCCATTCAAGCTTGGAATTTTTCAAGACGGGCTTTGAAAAATGTGTGAATTTTTTTTATATATAAATTCAAATATTATTGAATTCAATTAAAAATAATTCTCTCATAAACAATTATTACATTCACAGAGACGTGAACATGAAACTTCATAAGAAATGGGCTCAAGCTGGCCCCAATAAAACTTGTTAGACTTGAGAGTTGTTTTTTGTTACTCTGTCCAATTGTGATTTCTTATGTCTTGGGGATGTAACTAGATTTAAAAAGGGACACTGATAGACAAGTTTCTTCAAAATAAACAATTGAGAAAATAATACAACGAAATTAAATGAAATAATTTCCCTGAAATCTTTAATTTCTTATTTATCATAATTTTTGTGAAATTACATTCCTGACCCTCTACAAAATAATAGAAAGCGTAGGTATTAAAATCTAAACTAAAATTGTTAATAAGGAAAGTGAAGTTTTCATAAGCTACATAGTTGTTATTATATAACTAAATTGAATTTATGGTCAGCTATGTTATTAATACCTAAACTGAAATTGTTAATTACTTAACTAAAGTTATTATTACTATGAGAAGCGTATTTGTTATTACATATATAATTAAACTAACAACTACACTTTTTATATATTAAAACTTTACTAATGTTATTAGCAACTTCATTTTATGTTTTAACGACTATGCTCTCTCTCACTTTTTAAAAAAATTTTGTTGAGCGTCAAAAAAGTAATTTCACGAAAAATTTATGTCAAATTAGTCCCTAAAATCTTTAAAAATAGTGACTCCATTTCATGATGCTTATTTGTCATTTGCAATTTACCTATTTCAATAGGATTTATTTGTCATTTTACTCAAAAAAAAAAACATAGTTCAAATATCGATGGAAGACCGAAATAAAGAATGAGAACAAATAAAAGAGATTGAATTAAATAAAACATGAGAAGACCAATAACGAGGAAAAATACGCAAAAATGCTAGGGATACAAATCCAGGGGGACCAATGAAAAGAAAATATTATCACTGCCGAGTTGAACATATCGGCAAGTATCTTCCGTTTGATTCTGCAGTGGTTGCCGGCAACTTTACGGCCAATCATGATTCTTGATATACTCTGCCCATGATTCTTCCTGCTTGCTCATCTTCTAGTCTACCTCGCCCTTTGCCACCATAGAGACTTGGCCTTCGATCTCCATCGCCATGTAATTCTTGATTTTTAATTTACATTTAGTAAAAATTTATTTGGGTGTTGAAATTTAAAAAAATTATATCTCAAATATAGTTTGAATGTACTTCTTTAATGTCTTTTTTTTTTAACAGAAGGAGAAGTTGGTCATTTTACAAACCAAACTTTATTCCTCACAAGGGCCTGAGTCCTTGAACAGATTTCACAATAAATTCATAGCTAAAATGTACTTTTGATATTTTAATTTTACATGAGATTTTCATTTGGTCATTTAATTCTATAAAGTATCTTTTTAATCTTCTAGCCTCAACACAGTTAGTGTCAAGTGATTATTTTTTGTATTAATCATTGTTTTTTTTTAAAAAAATTAAACTTAATAGATCAACATTTGATAATGTTTCATCAATATTTAAAAATTAAATGTAAGAATTTTTTGTGAATAAAACTAACTGTATTAAGGTTAAAAGACTAAAAAATACGTTATAAAATTAAAAAATTAAATTAAAATATTATATAAAATTATATGATTAAATACATACTTTAACTTATCGATTTTTCAACAGTTTTTCCACAAAACTAATGTTTCTTTTACAAATTCAATTGAATGAGCTGGCATCCCCTGTATCAACCATACAAAGGGACAAAAAAGTTCAGAACTTCCTCATTGGCGAAAAGTTATACACGCAAAACGCTAGCATGTGCATGAATTAATTAATCATGAATATTGCACGTGCATATCACGTATTATTATAAGTAAATGTTTTAAAGACAACCTCACGGAAAATATTAATGGATGGTCAAAGTAGAAATCTTGTTTATAATATGATGTATTTATATTCTATAAAAACTTTGTGAGTGCCTGCCCAGCACTTTGAGGAAAGACAAAAATGATAACTCATTCGATTGTGGACAAGTGTACGGCTGGGGTAGCATCATCATCGTTGTCTTCATCAAGGAGCACTACTGAAAAAGACAGAAAATAAATGGGGAAATATCGTAATACCAAAATTTTCCATCCAGTTCTTATAATAATAATAAATAAAAAAACAATGCCCTAACTTCTTGGTCTGTGGGTCATATGGATGGAGCATTGAATTGATTATTATTATTATTATTATTTTAATAGTAAGATGGATGCTTCAAACACCGACTAATCTAAAATATGTTGTTGTCGGTGGCTGCTGGCGTATTTTAAAAAATATATGACTGTCATTGCTGAACAACTGTCTTATACAGGTAAAAATAATTCTCATTTTTTTCCCTTTTCCTGTCGTAGTCAATCTGGGTAGTTTCAGTTTTAAATTAATTAATTAGTTAGTTAGTCAAGTTGAATTAACTGATTTTGAATTTATTGAAAGTATAGTTTAATACTTTAATTTTATGTTTAGTCCAAGTTTCTCGTGATAGTCTACTTTGATATTACCTTTTAAATTATTTTATTGTGCAGGGGACATGTATTATTTTTTTATGGTTTTATTGCCAAAAATTATATTTTATTGTTTACTCAACATTGATTTAGATGTCACGTGTCTTTTTAATATAAGTTACATAGAGGGTTATTGATTAATACTTTTTAATTTTACCCATGTTGCAAATTACTAAAAAGAAAATTTAATTCTAATTGAGTACATGTTTCTATATGACTCCTCGAATATGGTGTTTTCTTTTTAATAGAAAAAAGTTAAAATATATCTTAATTTTAAAACAAATTTAATGAGTTAGTCTCCTTCTTTTGGTTCTAGTGAGGTGGATAAAAATAACTTATACTCTTTTCATTAAAAAATATAAAGCATTTTTAATTAAATTAAACTTTCAATAAATTAATTAATTGTCAATCAATATCATCTTTCTATAATGCCAAAAAAAATAATAGCATTCTTTGTTTATTCTTATTAATTACACATTGAAAAACTAAATGAGTAATAATTTCTAATATTTTTTAATATCTAACCTTAGAAAAACACATTATACTTTTGAACAAAGAGAGTAATAATTAAGGACAGGGAAGGATCACTTATTAGGGTAATTTTAAAGATGAAATGAAATTAGAGGATCGGGAAGTGCTTTCTCTGTTTAAAATTATAAGCTATTTTTTTAATAAATGTCATATGTAAAAATATACCCCCTCCATTCAATAAGGTATTTTTAATAAAATTACATCCTCCAATGAGTTAGTTAATTATTTTTAGAATCACATTCGTTTTTCATATTTATACACATTTAATAGGGTGTCTTGGTCATTTGAGAAATAGAACAAGTCCAAATACACCACAATGCATAATAGTCACTCTAAAATAGTAAAGAAATATTGACTAAAATTTAGCAAAAAATTAATAGCATGTTTGGATTAATGACGATTTGAATTTAGATCAAATCCCTCATTTAGAAACACAAAAATTTATGGATTTAGTCCATTTCTTATTATATTTCATTTGAAATTACACTTATTTCAAACCTCACATTCCCTTTATGTTTTTACTATTGATGTCTTTATGATTCTCGTATATTTTCTTATTTCTCGTTCTCTTTTCTTATTGATTAATAGATTGAGGTAAATTCATTACTTTTAATTTTTTGTTTTCATTTTAACTCTCAACTCACTTCTCTTCTTCATTTGAAATTCTTAAACTACCCAAACAAAAGATTTTAAATATAATTGAATTTTAAATGTGAGATTTGAAATTTAAAATTTGAATCCAAATTCATTTATCTAAACGTCACATAAAGATTTTATAAACTATAATTACTACAATACTTGTAAGGGTTAATGACTTTAAATTTAAGTATTTAAATAGTTTTTAATAAGAAATTGATATACATTTTAAATTTAACAATACAATATACAAAATTAATTTAAGTATCCTTACTACTGCCACTACAAAATTAATTTAAATAGTAAATTATCACTCATAGCCACCCTATAGTATTCCCTCTCTATTTATAAAATACTTTTGTACTATTTGGAACATGGATCATATATTGATGATATATGGACTTGTGGTGTAGTATCCATATTTTTTGTGAAATTATAAAATATATTTATTTCCTAAAATTTTGTTTGTTAGATCTTGTTTCATTGAAGTTTTCTTCACTTATCATGGACATGGCACCACCACTTGGATGTAGAGCTATCCAGCAGTGCCTAACATGTTCTGCTTAGCCCAAAATGTTAGGTCATGAGCTAGATTGGGTAGCAGGTTGTAAAATACAACTCGTCTTTCATTTGGGGTGGGCATCAGGTAAGGGCCCAGCCTTGCCTTGCCCAACATTGTCATATATACACAATTACATAATAAGCTTTTTAACAATGGGTAAAAA